GATGGGTGTTTGGCAGCGCTTAGAAGGAGTCGCACTGCCGTGATCACCCAAGGCGGAGGCGCGTAAGCCAGAGTGCGAGACTTTGCGTACGCGATGCTTGCGCGCGATGGATCCTCGTCTGGTGCTAAGAGACGACCGGCTAATCGAGGGTTGCGTACTGCTGCATTGGGAGGTGCATTCACTGCGAGTATTGCTCCTGTTGTACATCTCGCTCATCCACTCGGCTGCAATATCGTTCGTGGTAACTCTATTCTTCAAAAACCTTCAATTCATAGAAATAAATTAAGTCTCAGAGAAAAGAATGCAGTAGATGTCAGGTTAAGATGAACTCATTTTATATCAAGTGATAAAAGTATGACTAATATGTGTGCCCAACAGAACTTTGTAGCACCAGTCCTGTAGTTCAAAACACTGTCCCGTTTGTTATTATTTTTTACCGAATAACTTCCAACGAGGATGCAAGTCTGCCATCTAATATAGGTGACGCAGCAGCAGTGCGAAATACTTCGGCAGTTGATTGAAACAAGTTTCCATACGCGGCTATTTCTTGTATTTCAATGACATTTCGTTAATCTAAATTCTTCGAAAACTAAAACTGTCCCTCTTGAAGGCGTCTTAACCGGAGGTTAAATGTATCCAGTAACCTACCGAACGATTTGAAAGTTTTAGTAATTTGGTCGGAGTGTCATGTCTGGACAGTTTCCAAAGTGAAATGGGAAGGACATGAATTACAGGAGCGGGCAGTCAATTTTAAGACAGTAAGCTGGTGTAACCAGGGGTCAGACTAAAATTCCTCACTAAGTACACCACTGTCGGACTAAAAACTCTTACAAGAGGCAAAACAGATAAGAAAACAGGATTCTAAGCCATGGATATCAAATAGGCAGCGATTTGCAGAGCTTTCATTCAGTTTCTTTATCACTACTCTCCACTGTAGTGTTGATATTCGTTATTTCGAACCAAGATCGAAAATATTTGCAAGGCCAGAAAGTGGAAGAATATAAGTCAGTAATATTATCCAACATCCCACATTTAATATGATTGTCGGGGTTATCCATGTGTCTTAGTGGAAGAAGATGGCTAGGCTCCAGGTCTTCTTTAGGGTAAAGGTAAGCACTATCAGAGCTGATTCAACCGACATTAACCACCATCTCCTTCAAGACGGCTAGCTACCTGTAGTTCTCGCTCGTATATTTGCATCTGGAGAGTGCATGCTTATCAATCCTTTGTAACGCTGTTGTCGAAGAGGAATAAAGCTGACAATAACTGTGATTGTGTCACACAGTGACTCCTCAAGCAATTCTATTCCTACGTGGTTGGTAACAAAAAGTGTTAATGAATAGTTGAATTGGTTGGATTAATGGGTGGATTGCTAAAATAAGGTTTTCAAAACTGACGAGCCCAGGATTTTATGGTTGATGACGTAAGGTTTCTGATAAATAATCAAAAAGATTTATCTTATTTATTCTTTACCAATTAAATTTAACTCACTTTTTCACAGCATTTGCCACTACGGTTATACCCTCAGGTTTTAAGTTCAGAACTTCCGCAATCCTTGTAAGCATCCCCTGATCCTCCAAAATGTCTGTGCTGGCAACCTGCTCTATATCTATTGGACTCGCATCTGTTCTTTCCTTTACGTCCTCGTATTTGAGCAAAAATTGATGCACAAGGACGTCGTTATAGCGAGGCGTTCCAATGTGTCCAGAGGGTACGCTGAGGCCATCACCACCACTGGAGTCAATATATGGCATCATTTTAATGCCCTTCTCATCTCCCCTCGGAAACACCCTTTCATAGTTTCCCAGCGAAGCCCGATACCATTCGTTGATTGTATTGGCCAGCAACAAAGTATCACCTGGTGTGAGCTTCTCCAGTATTGTCTTCTGAAACTGAGCAGAAGTATGTTCGTTGAATTTTCAGTCATGGAGTATCAATAGAACTCAGCAATCCCTATCAAAACGTACAATTACGTCATTAGGAGCGGCAGAGCGTGGCAAAACATGACCCGTAGTTTGTTTATTCTGATATAAACGATTTTAAAGTATAGGAAAGGAGCAACCCTCGGGCGAATAAGGTTTTCGGAAATACTGACGGAAAAGGGCCGCGACCCTTCAGTGAACCTGCGGAAACTGAGCAGCTGTGTGTTGCAGAAACTCCGGAATATTAAGTGCTAAGATAGCAAGGAAATATGTATGTTGATATTTTCTGATTTCCCAGCATCAAGGTGCCTCGAACTAAACCGTCGCTAGATGAAAATTTACAGTAAATTCCCTAGCTCATTAAATTTCTAACCAAATTCTGAAATGTGTTTTCGACTTGGACAGACTACTTAACTAGGGTTGTAATATTGATTACCGTGCAGAATACTCTAAAGATATTTCTTTCACGGCCGGATGCCGGATTTTGAACGAACTTCTTTCTGACCACCTGCAAAAAGCATACTCTGTAAAAAAACAGCTACTTATGTAGTATGCATTTTCCTTAGTGATTTTCGATGCCCTAAGATATATCTTATAGAAAACATGCCTAAAATATCACTTTGGTACTCCTTTGGAAGAATTATGCCTTCTTCACATTTTATACTTGAGGAAATGGGGTCAGTCCTATCGTTCCAACTGACAGTGTGCGACCCTCGAAATCACTGAAACTCCGGGAATCCATGTGAAATCAGCCTGAAGACTAAACTGGGAGAATTCTTTCATATGGACGGGAGATGGCCGATATACGGAGAGGATTCATGTCACCCGAACGCATTATATCTGTAGTGTATGTAAATAAATTTGACAACATACCTCTTGGTTCGCATCTCAAGCCGATACCCCATGGCTGTCAAAAAGCTAACCTGTTAACTAGGCCCTCCCAACTTGCTGACTAATGTGGCTATGCGCTGCACTACCTCACACTAAGGGAGAATTCGTTCGGGATGTCATCTTTTAGGATCTCGACCCTAGCAGGAAACGGCAGTAAGGCAGCTAGATTAAGACTTAAGCGGGCATGCTGATAGGTGACCTTGGACACATTTCTACTTAAGATATATTCGATCTTCAGGCCTCCCATGCTCAATTGTCTGACGTCGGCAGGTTGTAAATGATAGCAACCAGCCGAGATGTTGTGAGCCTTCTGTTTAAAGCCAGCTTACTCGTTGGTGATGGATTCGCTTGCAAATACGAGTACAGAACCCTTCCTACCATACTGTCTGGTCTGAGTCCTTGCAAGGCATCGTTTGGGAAAGAGCGTACAATATGCAAACTGGGTAGGTAACTTTGAGCGCTGTTGCCATCCTGGACCTGTATCGACCTCGTATTCTAAGCTATGCTTTGCTCACATGCCTTTGGGACATGGCCCGTGTGTCTGGCTCTCGTGTCCATCAGCCCGTGCGCGCCAGACGCTGTCAAACCTCCGATCAAGGTCACGGACGTGTGTGGTTCTGCCTGGCCAATTACATTCCAAGGCCGGTTCATAGAGGACCTTACTGCGATGATTTTCTACGCTAAGACACTCTCGGAGCCAGCGAGTTTAGTGCCGGTTGCAGACACCCAGACCCGACGACTACACCCACCGGAATGCGACTCTGGACTCCGGCCAGTTCATGGCTGGACTGCACTTGTCTGGGATTAACTTATCCATCACTTATATTCTACTCCTTCTACACTTAATGAAATCACCCATAACATTCTGGCCTTCCATGCAATATATTATCTACCAGCTTATAAACATTGGAATACGTTCAGTTTTTACTATCCGGCTGGACTACTTCGTATCCCACAGACCTAACAAGTCGCACTGTGGGGCTAGAAAGAAGTATTAAAGTGTCCTCCGGAAAGCGATCAGTTTAGGTCTGTGAAGAGCGCATTCACGTGACTGTAGATGTCCGATGTTACAATGGATAACTGTGTCTACTTAAAAGCCAATGAAATGCAGTTATGTTTTAAAGTGATACCGATTTCTAAATATTTCATAAAGCATCGAATTCTTTATTAAAACGCTGTTTACCAAATAAATTTTTTGAGCGTCAGTAATGCTTGGATGATCTTCTAATAGGTGTTTATTATCTCCATTTATTTACTTTGATGAGCGCTAAGTAATGGGCATAAGTATATTATTCCATCGGAAACAACAAAAACATATAATAAATAAGGATAGCTAACGGTGACTTCAAATGACTTTAACCTTCAATGAAAAATGCAAAACCCAACGTTTGCGGTCATACTACTCAACGTAATCCGGCACTTTGCGTTAGAGGCACTCTTTATTTTTCAATTGTAGCTTTTATGTATGACTAACCCGGAGAGATTGGTTCTTTCCAGTGAATGTACGACGCTTTATGCGTTCGTTATGGGAGGGCGTCATCCGGAGAAGGTAAGCATCATGAAGAGGAAAGAGGCGTCCGTCCCCGTCAGTCTGGTTGTGCAAAACATTTTGTACTCCATCGGTCCTCGGGCTGTCCGCGCAGTTGTCCAGGGACCCTGAACTAGGCTGATGAGCAGCTGGTGAGGACGCGTTTCTGGCTTCTTCAAATAGCAAATCCAGTGTTCGGCATTGCCTCAGAGTGCCGTCTGACTTGAAGTACTTCGGCATTGGGGGAAATCGGTAGCCCGCAAGATTTAGCATATCGACGACAACCTCAGTCTTGATTTTGTTATCCAGTGCCGATGAGGTATGCAAGCTTGTGAAAAAAGAAAAGGGCTTTGAGATAACACGTAAATAAAACTCTGTTTTTGTCTGCATTCGTAGATTAAATCTTCGTCATCTCCGAAAGTTATTCTTTAAGAAATGCAGTCTCTCGATTCGGAGAAACTTCCTCAATTTCCGCACAATTTTGAACCCGATATACAGGTGTCTGTGCCCTTATAGTTTTCAAACTGCACATTGGCTAGGTTTACTTATATTTTGCTAGGAAATTTTTTTATTGAAGCCCCTTGAGTCTAAGATGCATAACCTGACCTGATTTGCTTTATAAGTTCCCTATATAGGAATAATCCCTCCATGTGCTAACTGCTTAATTCATAGAACGACGTGCACAAAGTTGCTTTAGTAGATTTTTCGTTCGAATTCCTTATACGTATTGAGAGTTGCTTTTTAGTTATTTTTTTATATAACTTTCAATTTCGTTGCAATATATCGGCCTAGAAGAATATATTTCTCGGAAAGTTACTTTTTATGTTTTTTTGCACACATTAAACCGCTTATTCGAAGTGAGGCCTCAGGTTTAAACCCCCTTTTACCACCGTTCCCGCTTTGTAGGACCCTGGAGTTAAGGCGGGGCTATTAGGGTTTAAATAACCTGCCTTTGCGATATTTTTTTATAAAATATGTCTAGGTCTGAGAGGGCGTCGGAGAAAAATCTGGAATTTTCGTAATACGTTTTAATGAGCGTTTTATTTGCAGGCAGCCTGAAATGAGCTCAGTTAAAAGTCGGCAGCCTGTCGTAACTGAAATATTTTGGGGATAATAGTGTACGGTAATTAATACTTCAACTCCACCTAAGTAATTCTTTCGAAGCAAAAATACACTCGAGAACTTTGTTTAGCCGTTCATTAGATAGACCAGCTACCGTACGTCAGTAAAAAATCGGAGTTAAGCCGACTGCCGATTGTAAAGTCATGCACGGAGACTGGTATATTTAAAATCGCCTTTAAATGCTGGTTTAAATTTAACGCGAGACTATAACTTAGTTACAAGTGGAATTACCCACCAAAAGTTAGCCGATAAGTGTCAGAATAAATTACCTTGGTGAGACATTGACTTCAAGCAACCACGGTTTTAGCGCCGAATCCAAAAGAATGTCGAAACCGAAAAGCTCATGCACACACTCTCGGCAAGCTACGAATTGTAGAACGTTGCTTGCCAAAGAAGAAACGACAGAGGCAACGGTCTTGAAGACGAGCATTTTGATATTTTCCCATATTACCTCGGAATCATGGCCATGTTCTCGGAGATATTTCCAGAGTTCTCGAAGTTCCCTAACAAACGTTAAGGAATAAAGAGTTAAGAACAGAAAAACAGAAAAAATTAGTTTTCTAAAGGGAACAATGCGGTAGATGACACGGAATCAAGTAGGCAATGGGACCAACGTAAGCTGGCTTCCCCCTAATGTAAACTGGGCTCAGTCTCAAGATCGGTGAACGTCCACCTACCAATTTAAATATTCCTGGTCAAAACCGGAAAGATAGCAAGCCCGTGGCCCAATAATTCGAGCCTCGGTGGTGCATCGTCTGAGTTTGGATATGACTAGCTGGTGACAGGTAGTAGACCAGAAATGGTTACTCCAGTCTCCCTTGTCTTTGTCGGTAATTTTCGTCTGCCTAACCTACTAGCCGCCGTCTGGCTGCTTGCGAGGCTCGAGAGTGGGCCCCAAGGCAGAACGGGACGGGTGAGTCCCGCAACCTATCCTTGAACGTTCATTCACCAATGAAATGTACTCTTTTAAGATTGTAGTAAAATTGATAAATCGTTACTAGTACGTGTAAACTGAACATTTTCGCATTTTCGAAAACCTCATAAATTTAATAAAACAACCAAATAAATTGCAAAAAATATAACCATACCACTTGTGCGCATTCTCGGTGTGAGCGTCTCCACTCGGGCGGTAGCACCCACTTTTCTTGTTCACTGAGTAATTTGTAAGATGTACGAATCTGTTGGAAACATTCTGAGGCGATTTGGAATATCTGAAATTTCAGAAAGAGCTAAATTGTAAATCGCAAATGCAGTGAAATTAAAAACTTACGACGGACATGGTGAACACACAATCAGAAAAAATTGTAGGCATTCAAAATTATTAGCATTCTAGTAAGGAAAGGCCGCAGGCTACATACTACTGAGTCTAACCGTTGGGTTGAGTAAAACTCCTTACAGACACTTTAGTGCGATTGCTGAATAATGGTTTTTTTATGGCAGTTTTGGTCATATGAAAATCAAAATTCTTCCTTTAGTTCTTCACTTACATTATAAGACATAAATATCCAACTGAGAGTAAAGGTTAAGACTGATTGAATGAAGGTAGAATAAGCCCGAAACAATACTTTATAATCTATCTCTATTCGCTATTGTCCCTCATCAATGCAATTATAACTTGGCCGACCTCGGCCTAGTAATTGATTGTGTATGTGTGATCTTTGCCACCTATAAGGAGCTTGATTGCTTCGAGAAACCAATAGATCGGTGTGCGCCTATATCTGATTAAATAGATCTCCGACCTTGATCATCGTTCGACTTATTGGGCATACGCGATGGACGGCCCCGCAGGTAGTCGTCCAGCAACTGGTAATATGAACAGAAAGAAACTACCGAAAGAGGCAAGGGAAATGGGAATGGCCATTGCTGGCTTGTTAGCTACCGTTAACTAATAATACCCAACTTCAGCTTTACAGGACTTAGGATGTGAACTAGCTTAAAATGTGAGTTATCATTACTAATGACTTCGGAAAATATAAACTTACTCATTGGAAAATAATTCTTGAGTGAAACTCACCAGGATTAATGCTGGAAGCCCGTGAGTCTTGAAACTTCAATGAAGTTCTTACTTAATTTATGTCACAAACTGTCCATTTGTTTCGGTTTTTATATATTATATGTCCACCTTCACATTTTGTTCTTGATGCAATGTCAGATATATCCGGATTTTTAGACTTTTTGCCAGTAATACATGTGATAGTGTATAAGGAAGGTAATTTATACATTAATAAGTACAGTCTCTGCTAATGGGGAAATGAGTGCCCGTCTAACTGGTGTAATGTTGTAGGGTTTGATCTGTAGATCAAAAGGAATCGCGATGATAGAGTGAACTATCACCCGTACTTATGCCATTATGTATATTTACTACGAATTAGAATATTCAAATACGTCTCTAGAACCCCATA